GAAGGCAGACGCTTAACGACTGAGCCACCCAGGTGTCCCTAGTTTCCCCATTGTTAAAATAGGGCCATAATAGTCCCTACCTCAGCCCGTTGTTTCAAGGATTAGCAAAGAAGGCAGGCAACATGTCTGCATGGCAGCACCCGTCTACTCCACCTGCCTCTCATCAGATGGATCTGGGTGGATCACCTTCTCTGGGCCAGGCCCAGCCCCCCCCAACCCCCATGGTGTCACCAGAACCCATCTCTCCATTACAGCATCCTTCTGGATGAGGAGGGCCACATCAAACTCACTGGTGAGTAGAGGGCCCCTGTTCCCCCCGACCACCACCATCAAGTCCCAGGGGAGGGCAGGATGGGCTCTTGATAGGCCTGGGCTGAGTGCCAGGAGATCCGTTCTACCTGAGAGGCTGTGCCAGGCACTTGGAAGTGGTCAAAAGTCCAGGCCCTAGACTTGGGATGGCCTGGGTGTGAACCCTAGCTCCCCACTAGGTAACCTTGAGCAAGTCACCTAACCTCTCTGGGCCTTAGCCTCCTCCTGAGTGTCATGGGGGTGATGTCCTCAGGCCTGTGGGCAGGGGCATTGGGTGTGCAGGGGTTGGCAGCAAGGAAGGCAGGGGGTTCCTAAAGACGTGTCCTCTTGCCCTCCTTGCCACAGACTTTGGCCTGAGCAAGGAGGCCATTGACCATGAGAAAAAAGCCTATTCCTTCTGTGGGACGGTGGAGTACATGGCCCCCGAGGTCGTCAACCGCCAGGGCCACACCCACAGTGCCGACTGGTGGTCCTACGGGGTGTTGATGGTGAGTGCCCAGACAGGGGTAAAGCATTCAGCCCATGCTTTGGGCCTCAGTTTTCCCCTCAGTACAGTGAGGGAGTTGATAGTCTCTAAGACTTCCTCCTGTATTTTCCCAGCCAAGCTGCCTCACCCTCCACCCAGCTGCAGGTTCCTTCCTTGGGAGGATTCCAGGCTTGGCCCCACGTGGGCTGTCCCCAGCCTGGGATTGGGCCTCACCTCAGCCTCAGCCCCTAGTACTGCTTTTGGTGTTCTGATTGGCAGAGGAAAGAGAGACAGTCACAATTCTTGATCCAGGTGGACCTGCCACAGTCCAGCAAGAATCCTGGGAATGGAGCTGAGTGGCCTGGGTGGGAGGAGGTGGGGGACATGGGAGATGGAGACCACAGCCTCACAGACCCTTGTCCTTTGCAGTTTGAGATGCTGACGGGCTCCCTGCCCTTCCAGGGGAAGGACCGGAAGGAGACCATGACGCTGATTCTGAAGTAAGCACCAGCCCTGCCCTGACACTTTAGGGTTTCCCCCGATGCTGGCCCCAGCTTGGGGGCCAGAATAATACTCTGTTCTTGCCTCAGATTTCCCCATTAATGAGACCCTCCTCTGGGTTAAGCACTATGCTTTCCTGGGCTTGGGCGGGGAATCCCTGAAGTCTTTGGGAGGTGAGTTAGTGGATGGTTTGTCTGGATTGAGCTGGAAATTCAACCTGGACGGAGTGGGGAGGGGAGACAGGGCCTCTGGGGCGGGCTCAGCCCTGATGAGACCTGGGGGCTATTTTAGGGCAAAGCTGGGCATGCCCCAGTTTCTGAGCACGGAAGCCCAGAGCCTCCTGCGGGCCCTGTTCAAGCGGAATCCTGCCAACCGGCTCGGTAAGCAGCCCCAGCTCGGGAGGGGAGCGGGGTACAGCTGCAGCCTAGGCCACAGAGCCACATCTGGGGCTGAAAGGGGCCGTTGTTGTCCTTTGTGTGGGCAGACAATGCCGCGGGCCACCCTGCTTTCTGGCTCCATGTGTGGTGTTTGGGGAGGGTGACCTGTGTGTAGGGGGAAGGCAGGAACTGAGTCATCCCCACTCCCCCTGGGGACAAGGACAGAGGCCCCCACACATCTCCTTCGCCAAGGCTGCTGGCACAGCAGAAAGAGCATGAGCTCAAGAGTCAGGAGGCTCAGGTCCCAATCCCGGCCCCGTGTCAGGTCCTCACTGCCCCCACACAGTGGTCCCTCCATAAATATTTGTTGAATGAGGGCCATTTATGAGCTAAGTGACCCAAGGCAGTTGACTTCACCTCCCCGAGCCCCGGGTCCGCATGTCCATGGGAGATGATGCTCTGGAACCCTGTTGACTAAATGAAGTTGCATGAACATGCCTGTTGTGTAGAAGATGTTCACTGTGTCTTGGCTCCTTGGCCCCTGGGTTCCTCTGGACCATGACCAGCTTTGTAAGGTCCAGTCCAGGTCCCTGGGGTTGAATGGAGTGAGAGTCTGCCTGGTGGCTGACAAGGACATGGGATAAGAGCAATAGAGAGGAGGCCTGGGCTGGGAGGGAGATGGGGGCCTCTGCAGATCTCAGAACAAGGCCAATTTCTGTTCTGTGTGGCCTTGGGCAAGTTGCCTGACCTCTCTGGGCCTTTCTTCTTCCATCAGTACACTGGAGCTTGATCATAAGGGTCTCCAGAAAGTGGCAAATGCTGAGTGGGCAGTAGGCCTTTGGGGTCATGGCTGGGTGGATTTGGGACAGGGGGAACCCATTGTCCCCCATGCTCCCAGTAGACTGCTGCAGTCGCTGGTCCCAGACCATGGTGAGGTCACACAGCAGACAGGGTGGGTGTCTGGGGGCTTGGACCGTCCAAGGGCAGACCCCTCATCTGGGCTCTTTCAGGCTCCGGCCCTGATGGGGCAGAGGAAATCAAGCGGCATGCCTTCTACTCTACCATTGACTGGAATGTGAGTGTGTCTGTCCACCCCAGAGCCCCCATCAGGGCTTCACCTGTGGCGGGAGGGGGCTTCTACCATCAAGGGCCCCGGATGTGGAGCAGAGGGTGACGGCATGGCCTTGGAGGCGAGGTTGGCCTCCCAGGGTGCCTGCACTCCAGGCCAATTACCTTCTCCTGCCCGAGGCTCCTGATGGGGTGTGGGGGCGCCATGGTGACCGGAGTGCCCACCCCACCTTACAGAAGCTGTACCGTCGTGAGATCAAGCCACCCTTCAAGCCGGCCGTGGCGCAACCTGACGACACCTTCTACTTTGACACCGAGTTCACGTCCCGCACACCCAAGGGTGCGTCTGTGGTCTGGCTTGTCTTGGGCTGGTACAGGAGGGAAGCAGGGAGTCGGGGGCCCCTCAGGATGTAGGGTGGTCAGGCCCAGGTGTGTGGGCAGACTGCAGGATAGGTCTCTGACTCTTTGTCCCCATCTCATTCGGCCTGACTCTCCCACTCCAGGGCTCTATGGGCCTCTTTGTGTCTGGGTGAGGGGGTGGGGGAGTGGGTGGTTAAGGCCACAGTAGAAAAGTCAGGCCCCCTTCCCCGGGGCATCTTCCAGCCCGCTGGGAAGACCGAACACATGAGGCTCACATTCACGTCAGGACTAAAGAATCCAACCCAGCAGAAACATGAGGTGGAGACAGTCTGGCAGAGCAGAAGTGACAGCGCCCACAGGTCAGGGGCAAGTGTGGGAATCGCCTTTGGCTGCTCTGATCACTGGATCTCAGTGTACTCATCTAGAACGTGGGCTCAGCCACAGACCCTCTCAGTTCCTGGGGTTACTGCGAGAAGCCAAGGAGGGGGCTTCTGGGAGGGAGTTTGATAAATCCCAATATTTTGGCCAGATATTGGGGGGGTAGTGTTAGTTCTGGAAGGATTCCCAGATGGATGGGTTTTAGCAGAGGGGGTGCTCTTCTCACTGTGGCTTGCACATCTCTGATGACAGGGAGCTTAGCACTTCTCCAATAGTTTGTCTCATCTTGATTCACTTATCTGACCCGTATGTACCAGGTTCCTGCTGTTGCCAGTGATCAGCCACGGCGGGGCGGGGGCTGGCCCTGCCTTCATAGGGCTCAGACTCTATTTGGAGGAGAGACATGAAAACTGGGCAGTGTGACGAGTGCAGCTTCACAGGGGTGAGGAGCTGGAGGAGCAGCTTCAGGCAGAGTTTCTCAGAGGGGAGCGTGACAGCCAAGCCTTGAAGGGCAGAAGAGCCGTGGAGTACCCAGTTACAGGGAATAGCATGTGCGGGGGCTCAGGGGCTCCTTTAAGGACCTGGGGAGTCCAGTGAGGCTGAGCTGCAGAGTGGAGACAGAGGAAGCTAAGATCGCAAGGACCTCAGTTGCCCAGCTGAGGAGTTGGGCTTTCTTCTGAGGTCCGAGGGGAGCACTTGAAGGGTTCGGGCAGGGGGTAGATTTGTAGTTGGGACCATCCCTCCTGGTGCTGCACAGAAGATGGACCCACAGGGGCAGACCTGAGGCAGTAGGCCTCCAGAAAGAGATGAAGTGTCTTGGCTTGGGCCAGACGCCCAGTGTGGGGGGTCTTCTATGTCTCTTGTGTGTCAGGGCTGGGCTGGTCTAAAGACACATGAACAGATGGGCTGCCTGAGGCCTGGCATGAGGGGCCTACCCAAGCCCCCTCCACAGCCAGCTGCTGAGGCAGGCCTGGAAGCCCCATGATCAAGGGCGCCTTCTCAGGGTCACATCTCCCTCCCACCCCTGCAGACTCCCCGGGCATCCCCCCCAGTGCTGGTGCCCATCAGCTGTTCCGTGGCTTCAGCTTCGTGGCCACTGGCCTGATGGAGGACGACGGCAAGCCTCGGGCCACACAGGCCCCGCTGCACTCAGTGGTACAGGTGAGGGGGCGGGAGACTGCTTCTCCTTTGTCTTCCCTACCCGGGAGCCGCCAAGGCAGAACAGCTGGGGGCACAGGCTCTGGAGTCACTGAGTGTCAAACCCTGACTGTCACTGTGTAGTCCGTTGGACCTCCCAGCCTCCTTGGGCCCCAGTTTCTCTGCTTGGGTGGCCACATGGATAGAAATTTCCGAGCACAGAGCCGGGGACGTTGTAAAGCCTAGATAAATAAATGTGAGGGGGTGCCCAGGGTGCTAGTGCTATGGGGTGGCTGACAGGTCCCTGACGGGGACGGGGGGCAGAGGGCTCAGGTTTCCTCACATTTGTCCCCCATGAGCGCACTTTCCCAGCTCCGTGGGAAATTTAGAAGTGAGAGGCCTGAGTGTAGACTCCGGAGCTCATTGCCCGGGTTCAGAGCTTCTAAGGTAAAGGACCTTGAGTGAGACATTTACCTTCCCAGGGTCTCGGTTCCCTCAGCTGTAAATGGGGGTGATGATAGAACCTTCTCCATAGGTTGTTGTGTGTGAAAGTTAAGGTGACCATGTAATTTATTATTCAGCTGAGACACCTTTGTCCAGGACAAACAATACACCAGACTGGGTGTAAGGACAACAGGCATGAACCAGGGCTGTCACAGGGCATGTGGTCACTGCTGAAAAGTGGTGGGAATAGTTCCTGCCCCACACTAAGCACCACAGAAGTATTTGCTATTGTTAATGGCTCAGAACCTTAAGACACCTCACGACATGGGCTCTGACACGCCAGAAGGGGGAGGCAACTCACCCAAGTTCACAGGGAGTGGCAGCGCCGGGACCCAGCTCAGGGCTCCTACGTCCCTCAGGCCTGCCCAGCTTTCTCAGAGCCACAGACCTCATGATGTGTGTGTGGTGACTCTGTTGCCTGCTCTCGTCACCCCCGTCTGACCACAGCCTGGAGCCACTGCGTGTGCCCATATAGAGTAGAAAACCGAGGCCCAGAGGGAGATTTTTGCTCGAGGTTACAGGACCAAGATTCTGCCCCAGGCCTCCAACTCTTGCCTGGTGCCACCTCCACTGAGCCAAGGCCTTGGGCGCTGGGGGACGACCCCTGCATTCTAGAGCAGAGGGTCAGCCCCATCTGTTGGTCTCGTGCAGCAACTCCACGGGAAAAACCTGGTTTTTAGCGATGGCTACGTCGTAAAGGAGATGATCGGTGTGGGCTCCTACTCCGTGTGCAAGCGCTGTGTCCACAAGGCCACCAATACGGAGTACGCTGTCAAGGTGGGCCTCTTGACCATGTCTCAGCCAAGGCTCCTGGGCTGGGGGGAGGCCAATGTAGCCCTAGCCCTTTGGCGGGGGAGGGTGGGTGCCTTAGGCTCTCTGGGTGGGTGAAAGGAATGCGGCTGAGACCCCCCCCTCCAAGCCCTGCAGTGTGGGCTCTGTGGCAGGGAGGAACTCTGGAGAATGTCCCCCTGATGTCGCCCATGTGCCCCCTTTCCTCAGGTCATCGACAAGAGCAAGCGGGATCCCTCAGAAGAGATTGAGATTCTTCTGCGGTATGGGCAGCACCCCAACATCATCACTCTGAAAGATGTGAGTGGGAGGGTCCTTGAGACCGGGATGGGGCCTGGGGCACTCAACTCTGGGATTTGTCTCAGGACTGCCATTCCTTTGACTTCGGATTTTCCTCTGCTCATGGGAGGGAAGGATCTTTGTGCCACCAGTCTGGCTGCGCCCCAAGGCTCTCCACTTCCGACTCGGGCCTTCTCTGACCTCTTTCCTGCCCCTTGGGGGACCAGGGCCAATATCCTCCTGTCTAGGAGGACAGAGGCCCAGAGAAGTGGCCCCATGGGGGCTACTGAAGCACGGAGCAGAACACATATCCGAGGCTCATGTCCTTCTTTCCTGGCCTGGTGAACGGGTAACCAAGGGACCCAGGCCTGGCATGGAGGGGAGGGCCCTGACGGTGAGGTCTCTGACAGGTGTATGATGATGGCAAACACGTGTACCTGGTGACAGAGCTGATGCGGGGTGGGGAGCTGCTAGACAAGATCTTGCGGCAGAAATTCTTCTCAGAGCGGGAGGCCAGCTTTGTCCTGCACACCATCAGCAAAACCGTGGAGTACCTGCACTCCCAGGGGGTAAGTCCGGGGTAGGGGGCACCCAGTGGGGATGGCGGGCTGCTGAGGATCTTACCATCAGCAGAGTGCATGAGCCATGGCTGGCCCAGGCAGGAGCTGTCTTCAGGCAGCCAGCCAGAGGGGAGACGATGGGTGGTGGGTGGGTAAGGAGATGGATGTAAGGAAGGGAAGGAGGGAGAGATGAGGCCGGATGGTGAAAAGGAATGTTGACACAGTAGTTGCTGTGTGCCAGGCACCATGTTAAGTTCTTTCCTTACGCTATCTCACCTGATTTTCACAACAGACCTAGGAGGTAGGTACTGTTATTGGCCCCACTTTACAGGTAAGAAGACCAAGGCTCAGAGATGGGAGGTGACTTGCCCAAGGTCACACAGCCAGAGAAGAATAGAGCCAGAATGTCCGACTGAGGAACGTGGTTGAGGGGCTGCAGATCGGGTGTGGGTCTGTGAGTTAGGAAGCTGCAGGGTCAGCAGGGAGTTGAATCTGGTTGTGGGTTCGGCTGCTAGGACAGAGGAAGTGGATGCAGGAGGAAATGCTGCTGGAAAGACAGCAGGTGCTAGAGAAGAGGTATTTGTCCAAACCATATGACTTGCATGGGATGGAGGTGGAAGATTTCCTGTGGTGTGTATAGAAGCTGAAAATAGAGTTAGCATGAGTTTCTCTCTGGACAAGATGATGTTTTGGGGTGCTCGCAGTCAGCGTGGGGGTTAAGAATGCAGGTTCTGGAATCCAGTGATCGGCTGTGTCCAAGTCCTGCGTGTACTGTTGGGAAGGCCTCTCACCTCTGAGCCGTTTCCTCATCTGCGAACTCAGGATAGCGGGAGCTGCCACCTCGGTGCCCTTGGAAGGCTCCACGGGCCACAGCAGCCCCGTGGAACATGCTGCATAGGGAGGAATAGGGCCAGATCATTGCTGTGCTTTTTTTTTTTATTAACTTTCTATTGTCAAAATTTTTAAATATATACAAAACTATGAGAAGAGTATAATGAACCTCCAGATACCCATCACCCAGATTAAAGAATTGTTGAGATTTTTATCTCCTTTCTACCCTCTCTCCCTCCCTCTCTTTCTTTTCTTTTTTCTTTCTTCCCTTTTCATTCCTTCCTTCTTTCCTTCCTTCCTCTTCTTCCTTCCCTCTCTTTCTTTCTTTTTTTGTTGTTGCTGAAGTATTTCTCCCAACCTTTTATTGAGGAAAACATTCAAATCTATAGAAAAGTTAAAAGAATCTTATGAAAACCATTTCTCTTCTAGATTCACCAAATCTTAACAGTCTGCCACATTTTCTTTATCTCTGTTTCTTTGTCTCTACTTCTATATCCTTATCTCTGCATGTAAATATATATTTTTACAGATGCATTTGAAAGGAAGTTACAGACATTATGACACTTGACCCATAAATACCTATAATTAAAGTATTTTAAAGCATATCTCAGACCTCACACAATCTTAGTTGTATATCTCTAACCCTAAAAAAGACATTTTCCTTCATAACAACTCTCAAAATTAACAATTACTTGTGTTCACATAGTACCTAGTCAATAGATACATTTCCCTATTGTCCTTTCAAAAAATCTTTTTGCCATTAGTATATTGGAATCACAATCTCTGTAAGATTTACACCTTTCCTTCACTTGTTAAATCCCTTAAGTCTCTTTTCAAAAACGGAGATAAATTTTGCATATGGTAGAGCTTAAGTGTATAACCCGAAGAGTTTTGTTAAATATATACATCCACATAACCTCCATAGTAAAACCTCCCTTTTTTATGCCGCTGACTAGTTGAAGAGATCAGTTCTGTGGAATGTCCCACATTCTGAATGTGTCTGTTTGCTTCCTTATGGCATCATTTTTTTAAAAGTATTCTCTTTTGTTTTTAAGATTTTATTTATTTTTGAGAGAGAGAGAGCACGAGCAGGGGGGAGGGGCAGAGGGAGAAGCAGACCCTACTGAGCAGGGAGCCCAACTGGGGACTCGATCCCAGGACCCTGGGATCATGACCTGGGCCGAAGGCAGACGCTTAACCGACTGAACCACCCAGGTGCCCTATGGCATCATTTTAATTGTTTCTCTATTGCCTGTATTTCTAAAATCTTAATTATATTTTGCTTCAACTTCTTTTCAGAAGCAAGGAGTTAGAAAACACTTCATGGGAGGTGTGGTGTACTTCATACGGCATCACATCCCCAAGCACAGCGTCACTTTGCCCCCATTAGTCATTGGTCCCCTCAGGTGGTAACAGTCTAGGGATGGGTGAATGGGTGGCAGGCAGTGGGTGAGCCCGACGGTGTACTGTAAAGACCCTCACCAACCTCTCATGCAATGGTTTCATCCTTTCAGGATCTTTGCCTGCATCAGTCATTTCATTAGGGTTTGCAAAAATGGCAATGTCTGATTCTGTCTAATTTATGAGGGGGATTCTTTTGTAAAAAAGAATCAGAGTGGGATGCCTGGGTGGCTCAGTCGGTTAAGCGTCTGCCTTCGGCTCAGGTCATGATCCCAGGGTCCTGGGATTGAGTCCCACATCGGGCTCCTTGCTTGGCGGGGAGCCTGCTTCTCCCTCTCCCTCTGCCTGCCACTCCCCCTGCTTGTGCTCTCTCTCTCTCTGACAAAAAAAGTAAGTAAAATCTTTAAAAAAAAAAAAAAAGAATCAGAGCTTCAATTTGGTTACCACATGTACCGTTTTAATGGTCATGTTCGAAGTGGTTTTGGCTTTTGAAATGGCCAGTGCAAATAGACTAATATTTAAATATGTCAGGTCAGGTAGTAAATGTTTCCTTTTCCTGTTTTGTTCTCAAGTGAGTACTAGTTAAAGTTACCCCCAAGAAGGTTTAGAAGACAGAGCCAAAGCAGTGAGTTTCCAATGGGTCAAGCTCAAAGCAAGGAAGGACTTTGTAGAGTGAGAGCTGCCTCCTCTACTAGGGACATATAAACTCCCAAGTACAGACAACCATGTGGGGGCGCAGTGTTATGGGAGAAAGTGGTCTCTTTCCCAACGTTGCGAGTCTGTGGGTCTCTAAAGTTTCTGGCCCTTTCCAAATACCAGGGGAGATGATGAGGAAATGGGAAACTCTCATTGAGGTATTTGGAGGGAGATTCTTTGAGCTGATTATGAATTGGCAGTATCTGTGGTTTAGAAGCTGGGACTCTCCTAAGAGGGATGGGAAGGGGATGACCAGCAACAGTGTCCACTGGGACTTTCTATTTGTTTTAATGTTATCTTTTTATTGAAGTATGACATAAACACGAATCCCAACGTTCAAGTCAGTAAATTTTCAGAAAGTGAGTACACCCACATAACCAGCACCCAGATCAAGAATCAAAGCTTTTGGGGCACCTGGGTGGCTCAGTCGTTGGGCGTCTGCCTTCGGCTCAGGTCATGATCCCGGGGTCCTGGGATCGAGCCCCTCATCGGGCTCCCTGCTCAGCGGGAAGCCTGCTTCTCCCTCTCCCCCTGCTTGTGTTCCCTCTCTCACTGTGTCTCTCTCTGTCATATAAATAAATAAAATCTTAAAGAAAAAAAAAAAATCAGAGCTTTTCCAGTTTCCCCGAATGCCGTCATATCCCTGCCAGTCCCTGCCCCCTTCCCAAGGATGACCATTCTAAGCTCACTGCTAACAGCTTCGATTCGTTTTGCTTGTCTTTGAATTTTACAAACACCTCCCCTGTTGCCTCTGGCTCTGCGAGTCCTCCATGTCGTCGTGCGGCTGTCGCTCCCTCATCCTCATTGTGGTGTAACTTCTGCTGTATGATCAGACAGTGCTTCTGTGGTCCCTTCTGCTGTTAAGGGACTCTGGATTGTTATTAGTTTTCGATGATGACAAGTAAATAATGCTGCCGTGACATTCTAGCGCTTGTCTTTTGGTGACCACCCATGGGTATTGTGACGCTGTGTGCACACCTAGCAGCGGACCCTCCGGGTTGCGGTGTGTGTGTGTGTGTGTGTGTGTGTGTGTGTTCGTCTTTAGCAGGTGATGCCAAACAGTTCTCCAAAGCTGTTTTGCCCGCTTACAGCCCCTCCAGAGCGTGCGGGAGTTCTGGTCCTTGCCCAGGCTTGGGTTATTGCATGGCTTGAATCCTAGCTGTTCCGGTAGGTGGGGAGGGCTTTCTCGTTGCTGTTTTCATTTGCATTTCCCTGATGACCAGTGAAGTTGAGCCCCTCTTTGTGTGTTTATTGTCATTTTGGACAGCCTCTTTCATGAATTGCCTGTTCAAGTCCTATGTTTATTTTTAAAAATTGGGTTGTCTGTCTTTTTCATCTTATTTTGCAAGAGTTCTTTGTTGAACACATGGAGTCCTTTTATGCCTAGCTTCCCTCATGTTGTCACCAGAAGGGCCCCACTGAGCCCGGGACAGCCTGTTGGAGAAGTCAGTAGAGAGTCACACTTCGGCTTCTCTGTTTACCCAGATGATTTACATAAAAGAACTTCGGTGTGTGTGTGTGTGTGTGTGTGTGTGTGTGTGTGTGTGTTCCCAGGCGCCTAAATGCACATCCTCCAGTGACAGGGAGGACGACAGAGGTGGCTGCTAATGGTAGCGGGCGCTACACAGCAGTTCCCACAGGCCAGACAGAGTTCTAAGCACTTTACATACCAACTCACCTAACTGTTCTGACAGACAGTTGGAAGTGGGGACTGTCATCATGCCCATTGTAGAGGTGAGGGAGCTGAGGCTCGGGGGTAAGTAAAAGTCTCCTCGCTAATCCGGCTTCCCAGTCCTCTAGTTTGCCCGTCCTTGTTGTCCTCTAATCTTACATGCTTCTTTTTTTAAAGATTTTATTTATTTGGGGTGCCTGGGTGGCTTAGTCGTTTAATCGCCTGCCTTCGGCTCAGGTCATGATCCCAAGGTCCTGGGGTCGAGCCCCGCATCGGGCTCCTTGCTCAACGGAGAGTCCGCTTCTCCCTCTCCCTCTGCTCCTCCTGCCTGCTCATGCTCTCTCACTCTCTGTCTCTCTCCCTCAAATATTTATTTGAGGGAGAGAGAGAGAGCGTGCGTGAGCACATGAGCAGGGGGAGCAGCAGAGGGAGAGGGAGAAGCAGGCTCCCCACCGAGCAGGGAGCCCGATGCGGGGCTCGACCCCAGGACCCTGGGATCATGACGTGAGCCGAAGGCAGCTGCCCAAACGACCGAGCCAGCCAGGCGCCCTTTGAGTGCTTCTTAACAAGCGTGCTCTGTAGCTTAAGGTCCAGCCCGGCGGTGGGGTCAGCCTGGGGAGCGCTGGAGTCACTGTGACCACAGCTGCCATTTCCCAAGCCCGGCGCTAAATAGTCCCGGTACATAACTCATATACTCATATGCTCCTTCTGGCCTCAGCACTATCACCAGCCCCATTTCCCAAAACCGAGGTCTAGAGAGCTTAAGTGACACGTCCAAGATCACACAGGCTGCTAAAGGCAGGATTCGCACTCTGGCCCGACTGAAATCACAGCTCTGCCAGAGGCCGCAGCCTACTACTCGCTGGCTGCATTTGACCTGCATGCACATTTTGTTTGGCCTGTAGGCTGTGGGGTGGTTTCTTTGCTTTGGGTTTGGTTGAGTCAGGTAACTGGGCTCCTTTTGAAACCTGGGCCTGCGTTGCCGCGCGGGGACTGTCAGCTGGAGCAGAGTAGGTCACAGCTGCCCCTTAGACTGGTTGGCCTGGCTCCGTCTCAGGCTGGCTTCACTCCTCGCTTGCCCCGCCTGTTGTGGTCTTCAGGGCAGGGGGATGGGAGCCTGCGCTACCCCTTCCCCCACACACACCCGGGGTGGGCGGGGGACAGGTATCAGAATCTCCGGGCCGGGGGCTTCCTGCTGTAGTGAGCCACAGTACCTGGAGGCGTTTGCCGTTTCTCTGTGTTGTGTGACGGCAGGATAAAGAGCGAAAACTTCCGTATCCCAGTTTCCCAAAAGTGTCATTGTCACACCAAACTGCAGACTGTGGAATTAAGGTCAGAGCTGGGTTCAAGCCCCACCTCTGCTTCTTGTTTACATGAGCAAGTCCATTCTCTTCTCATAGCCCTGGCTTCCTTCTCTGGAGAATAGAGCCGGCAGTCCCTGCCCTGCCCACTGACCTAGGCATCACGGCAGCCCCCGTGAGACCATGGGTAGGAGAATACTTTGGAAACCAGGAAGATCACTCATACCCTCAGCCAGGCTGAGCATCCCTGACCTCTGGAAAGCTTGGCTGGGCCCTCCGCAGGGAAGAGAGTCTACATTCTTGGGGTCTGGCCTTGTCTTTGGGGCCATATGATTGTATCAGAAGGACAGAGCCCTAGGAGCTGGTCAGGCAACAGCCCAGGAAGGGGCTTCCCAAGAGTGTGGATACAGTTCGCAGGTGTCACCCAGACCACCCTGCCGGTGTAGCCCTCTCCTCATCCGGCACTGTGCCCTCTTGGAGGTAGACTGTCAGGGCCATGTCTACCCTCCAACCTACCTGCCCCACAGGCACCTGCTAGAGGGCTTGGGGCTCAACTGGGGCTATGAAAGGATCATCTCATAAAGCCAGCTAATCTGTGAGAGTCAAAACCTCACCTGCAAGATCTCTATGTGTTTTAGAAGTGGATTTGTTCATTCATTGCACAGAGTTCACTTAGCATTTGCTCTGTGCTGGGGTGCTGGAGGTGAGCAGCCATTCCACAGACAGATATGATTATGGTCGAGGGAGCCTCCATTGGCCTGAGCTCAGGACACTTGAGGGGTTGTGGTGGACAGTGAGGCTGGAATGGATAACTGAGCCTCCCACACCAGGATGGGGACTTTGGGCTTTATCTTGCAGGTAGTAGGGAGCCATTGAAGGTTTTTGTCAACACCCTATTAGCTTATGGGAGGAGGAGCAAGAAGGTGAGACCGAGTTTAGTCTGGGATGTATTGGGTTCGAGGGTCTGTGGAACATTCAGTGGTTGATCTCTGGCAAGCAGCTATATGATTCTGGACTCAGGAAAGTTCTGGGCTAGGGTTGGCGATCTGAGAGTTGTCGATAATGAGGTAATGGAGGATTGGCTCTACATAGAACCCTACAGAGGGACGGGGGGAGGATGGAAAGTGGAGTGGTTCAGCCCTCAGATTACAGAGGAGCAGAGGGGGGCCAGAGGAGTCATTTGCTTCAGGCCTGAATGACATTGGACAGATGCTCCTTGAATACCTACTGTGTGCTAGGAACTGTTTTAACTGTTGAGATACAGCAGTGAACAAAACACTCATGGAACTTATATTCCAGTGGGTGGATTCAGAAAAACAATTAAGTAAATATTATGTCAAATGGAGGTAAACGGTATGGATAAAAATAAAGCAGGATGAGGAGCCTAAGGAGTACTGGTTGGTATTTGCTATTTTATATGGAATGGTCCAGGGAAGTCCCCACTGATAAGGTAACATTTGAGCTGAGACCTGAAAGAAACAAGAGAATGAGCCAGGCAGATGCTTGAGGGAAGAATGTTCCTGAAAGTGGGAAAAGTGAGTGCAAAGGCCCTGAGGCAGGAGTGTGCTTGGCATGTTGAAGGAAGTGCAAAGAGGCTGGTGTGGTTGAAGCTGATTGAGCAAGGAGGAGGGTGCTAGAGGACAACAGAGTGCAAGAGATGTGGGTGAGGGGCAGGGGAAAGATCAGGTGGGGCCATGTAGGCCTTTGGAAGGACTCTGCCTCTTAAAAGGGGAAGCTTTGGGGGGTTCCAGCCAGGATGACATGATCTGACTTAATTTAACAGGATCCCTCTGGCTGTTGTATGTATGTATGTATTTTTAAAAAAGATTATTTATTTGAAAGAGAGAGAGCGTGCACACAAGCAAGGGGAGCTGCAGAGGGAGAGGGAGAAGCAGGCTCCCCTCTGAGCAGGGAGCCTGACACGAGGCTCAATCCCAGGACCCTGGGATCATGACCTGAGCCGAAGGCAGACGCTTAACCAACTGAGCCACCCAGGCGCCCTGGCTGCTGTATTTAGGACTGTAGGAGGCAGGGCAGAAGCAGGGAGACCAGTTAGGAGGTGGTTGCCGTAACGCAGGTGAGGGATGATAGCGTCCCTGGTTGGGATCAGGGCTGCCAGTAGAGGGGTTGAAAAGTGGTTGGGCTCTGGATATATTTCAGTGGTAGAGACAGCAGAGCTTACTGATGCCTTGATTGAGGAATATAAGAAAAAAAGAGGAATTGAGGACTCAAGATTTTGACCCAAGCAATGGGAAGCATCGGTGGAGTTGTCTTTAGGAAAAACTGTGATGAGCAGACTTGAGGGGAGAAATAAGTAGAGTTTGGTGTGGACAGGTGAAATTAGGGCTGCCTCGCAGACATCCACACGAAATTCAAGTCGGCAGTACCAGCAGCACTAAGGGCCCCATTTCAGCCCCTTCCCTTCCTTTCAGATTCTGGGTCCTTCTGTCCCTCCCTGGGCCCGTCTTCCTAACTGTCTCATCCCTGGCAGTTGACCTGGGCCACTAGCAGCCTGCCCACATTGAGAACTGACCGGACCCCCTGCCCTTAGGTTGTTCATAGGGACCTCAAGCCCAGCAACATCCTGTACGTGGACGAGTCTGGGAACCCCGAGTGCCTGCGAATCTGCGACTTTGGCTTTGCCAAGCAGCTGCGGGCTGAGAATGGGCTCCTCATGACACCTTGCTACACTGCCAACTTTGTGGCCCCCGAGGTGAGTGCTCCGGGGAGCCTGGCACAGGAGGCCTTGTGCCCTTTTACAGAGGCCCCACGTGGTCCAGGATTCCAGTCTGTATGGTCTTGGCTTTGGTACCAAGGGAGGATCCAGCCCATGGTTGGGATCCTTGTCCTGCCCTTTGGGGAGCAGCACACGAGCATATGGGGCCAATTGCTGCTGCCCCTCAGACTAACCACCCTCCCCTGCCTTCCTTCCTGCCAGGTGCTGAAACGCCAGGGCTACGATGAAGGCTGCGACATCTGGAGCCTGGGCATTCTGCTGTACACCATGCTGGCGGGGTGAGCGACCCCTCTCCCTGGCCCTCCCTCCAGCCCTAGTGCACAGGCGGGGCTGGTGCTTGGCTGAGGGGAGAGACTCAGCCCTGCCTTTGGGAGCCCCACATGGAAGGGGAAGACACCGCCCTGGGGAGTACCCAGCCTGAAGGGAGAAACAGCTCCCGACCCCCACCCCTAGCCCCAGGATGGAGGCCAGAGGCTATACCCCAACTGGGTGGACTTTTCTCCAGATACACTCCATTTGCCAATGGACCCAGTGACACACCGGAGGAAATCCTGACCCGGATCGGCAGTGGGAAGTTCACCCTGAGTGGGGGAAATTGGAACACAGTTTCAGAGACAGCCAAGGTGAGTCTGTGAGGCCCAGCTCATTTGGGGTGGGGAGGCAGGGTCCCATCCCAGGGCTTTTTAGCAGTTCATGAAGAGGTAACCTGCAACCTCGTTTCTTCAAGTGGAATGTTCCACAAATCGCTGTTGCTATATTTCTCCAAGTGGAAGGTTCCCAGGCAGACTGCCGTCCTACCTTGTTTGGACAATTTGGTGATCATTCACAGCCCTTCCCATGTTCTGAGCCCTGCAGGGGGACAGAGGCTGCATAATCACAGCCCTTGCCTTGAGGGAACTGGGTGTGGGGAGAGATAGGGGCTTGCATACAAGGAACAGAGATGCCAGGCAGCAGAGAAAGGCAAGTCCTCCTCCAGGGATGCAGGCGCTGGAGGCATGGAGCCGAGCTACCGACCACGTCAAGCAGAGAGGCCTTCTCAGAGGAGGGAGCATTTGAGCTCTCAGTATTAGCAAGCTTCCAGTTATGGGAGCCTCTGTGCCACACAACGGGTCGAGCCCTTAATAAATAGTACCTCATATCAGCCTTATGAGGCAGATATTGTTGTTCTCCCTCTTTGTCAGGGGAAACTGAGGCTCGGAGTGTTGAAGTAATTTGCCCAGGATACTCACTTGATCAGCAGAAGAGGCCAGTTTTGAACCTGAGTCTGCCTGATCTCAATCTTAGGTTCTCCCCACCTTCCTGCATGGCTTCTAGAAGGTGAAAGAGAAAGGAAAGGACATTCCAGGAAGAAGTCCCAAAGAAGGGCACGTGCTTGGGGAGGCCTTGGAGCGATGTGGAGGATGGATTACAGGGGCAACTGGGAGGGTTCAGGCTGGAGACGGCGGGAGACGGCGGGAGATGGCAGGAGGTGGCCGCTCGCCCACTTCTCATCAGTGGGGCACAGCTGTGGGCTCCGCTGCCAACTCCACCAACCGTCTTGTCCGCCGCGCCCGCAGGACCTGGTGTCCAAGATGCTGCATGTGGACCCTCACCAGCGCCTCACAGCCAAGCAGGTCCTGCAGCACCCATGGATCACCCAGAAAGACAAGCTCCCTCAGAGCCAGCTGTCCCACCAGGACCTGCAACTTGTGAAGGTACGGCCACTCCGGGCTGCTGGGCCTCTGGTGGCCCAGGCCAGGGTTCCAAGGGCAAGAACTTGGGCAGCATAGGCTGCAGATGCCGTATCTATCTGTCCTCAGGGAGCTCCCATCTAATATGCAAGGGTGTCTACGGTCCTCTGGGGGACCCAGGCTCTGACCTGTGAAGCCTCCAGTCTGATGGAGGAGGCAGGACTACTGACCATGAAGGACCGCCAAGGCTGGATTAACAGGGGCCCAGGCGGGTGTGGAACACTGAGAGCGGCTGGGGTGCGCGTGTCCCCGCACCGCCCGCCGTTGTGATCTGACCTCCCCGCTTCTCTCCCAGGGGGCCATGGCAGCTACCTACTCCGCACTCAACAGCTCCAAGCCCACCCCTCAGCTGAAGCCCATCGAGTCATCGATCCTGGCCCAGCGGCGGGTGAGGAAGCTGCCGTCCACCACCCTGTGAGAAGGCAGAGCGTCCAGGCCGCAGGGCGGTGCTGGCTTGATGGAGGCCGCATACTTCCCAGACGGAGCAGGCCTGAGTCACGGGGCCAACAGGAGCGGAGCCCCAAGGGGCCCAGGAAGCAGCCAGCCCAGATCGCCCCCACTGAGGGTGTGAGAAGTGCCTTCTCCTTCCCCAGGATGGACTCTTCTCGGCTCATGCTCTGCTGGTTGAAATCAATTCACTGTACAAACTCATCTTTTTTTAAGGAAAAAAACGGCAAAAACCGCCATGGATTTTTTACAAGATCCATTTGCCTTTCTGGGAGCAGAAATACCCGTGCAGCCCCAGGAGGGGCACTGAGTCACACCAAGGCTCTCTGCGGCTGAGAATCCTTAGAGCTTTGGTATCCTACCCCGGGGCACCCCACGACGGGCCATCTGCAGCCATCTGCAGCCATCTGCACATACCTCCGAGGCAGTCCGGCACCACCTTCCAGAGCCCTCGGCTGTTTAGCAGAACTTGCTCTATTCGCAGTCAGCTCCTTTTCCGTTCTGTTCTGCTGGGGGGTGGCGGGGTCGCTCTAAACCTCTTCCTGCTGGAAGAGAGGACCAGGACCCCGTGGCCCCCAGCTCAGGCACCAGCATCTACACCGGCTCCGCCAGGGGGTTCCCCGCAGGGAGATGGGGCAGCCGCAGGAGGAGGATCCAGGAAGCACTTTTGGGCGGACTTGTGTTGGAGTCTGCTCCAGGACAGAGTTCACAAGAGGCCTGTGGGGTGGGCCGAGAGAGGCAGGGGCTCTTTTTCATTTCTTCCTCAGCTGGTTACTCAGGGTTCATCTGTCCACGGCCTTTCTAATAAATTTGCAGTTGAGTTGAAGCACGCTCGCCTCCGCTTTTCATCCCTGAATTTCCCCTCTCTGCTACTGGGTGTTGAGGACTTTGGCAGCAACAAGAAATGGATCAGGGCCAATGAGCCCAGCTGCTTGGAGCTCAGGTCATTTGGGGAGCATGTGGGAGTCCCACTGGCCCTTCCTGCACATTCCTGCCAGGGGATTCCATTATGGTATTAATAAGAGTCATGGTATTATTAGCCCCCAGTGACCAAGTGCCAGGCACTGTGCCTGGGCCTTACATGTATATCTCGTTTAATGCTAGTCTATTATCAACTCTGTTTATAGATGGGGAAACAGAGGCTCAGAGAGGGGAATGACATTTTGTCCACACTAAGTATTTTCTGAGCACCCACCTTGGCCCTGCTCCAGATACTGGGGAAGCAAGTAGAAAACAAGGTCATTGTTTTCACGGGTCTTTCCTCCTAATAGGGGAAATGGACAATTAACAAACTGAGGTCAGCTATGGATAAGACATTCGCAGAATTAAATTGGGATAGGAGATGGCATGATCAGGAAGGCCTCTTTGGGGAGGTGACCCAGAAGCTGAGATTGAATGATAAGGGGCTCTCCAAGACTAGGAGGCGGGGCAGAGTGGGCAGCAAAGGAGGTGGGCATGGAAACACTGTTTCCAAGGAGGAAACAGCCTGGGCATGCTCAGGGAGGGACCAAAGAGAAGCCAAAGTGGTTGTGATATCAGAGCCAGGGGGTTTGCATGAGATGAGGTTGGAAAGGAAGGTGGGGCTGGTCATGCTGGGCTTTGTGGCCCAGGGAAAGGGATTAGGGTTTAATTCCAAGTAAAATGTAAGCTCCTAGAAGAATTTAAGCAGAGGAGTGACATGATTTGATTTACATTTTTAAAAGATGGCTCTGACTCATGTGTAGAGAGTTAATGGGGGGACGGGGGACGCAGGAAGCAGAGTGACGGATCAGTGGCTACTGCAGTGGCTCAGATGAGAGATGGGGTGGCCTGGACTAGGAAAGTGGGAGAGGGCATGGGGAGGGAGTGAACAGGCAGGATATGCTTTATAAGTAAAGTAGACAGCATTTATTGGCCGTTTGGATAGAGAGACTAAGAGAGAAAGGAGATTCTTACATATCTTCCAGATTTTTGACTTGAGCAGTTGAACACGGAGGGAAATGTGGAGGAACAGGTTTGAGAATTCTGTGGGAGATACCTTTTAAATACCCAAGTAGAGATGTCAACTAAGAGTTGTAACCAGAAGTTGGAGTTCTGGAGAGAGGTCTGTATTGGAAGTATAAATCTTGGAGTCAGTAGCTGGGAGGCAGTTTATAGAGCCAAGAGGCTGGGCTTTTCCAAGTGTGGCCCACAGACCAGCAGCAGCAGCATCTGGGAACTTGGTAGAGATACGGAATCTCAGCCCCATCCCCAGACCTACTCAGTCAGATTCTACATTTGAAAAAGATCGGCATACGGTTTTTGTGCACACTGAACTTTGAGAAGTGCTGTTGTAGGGACAGAGCAGAGAAGAAAAGGGACTGCCACTGAGCCCCGGAGCATGCTAGCACTTCAAGGTGGCACTGAACACCCACTGAGACACACAGTGCTGAGCCCCTGACCTGGGTATGTTCCACTCCCCTGAGACTCAATTTCTCCATCTGTGCAGTGAAACCAATATGTCCTGCCCTGCCCACTGCCCAAGGTTGTCCATCCTGGACCTCTTCACCCCAGCTGGAATCCTGAGCATCATCCCTGACTCCTTCCCCCACTTCCTACATCCCATCTGCATCCTGGCCCCATCAATTCTGTCTCCTAAAATATTTGGGGGATTTATCCCCTCCTCTCCATCCTCCCTGTCCTCATATTTTTGTTCTTTGCCACAGCCTACTAATTCCCTCCAGTCTTTTGTGTTCCCAACATCCTCCATTTAGAATTACAATCTGACCCAGCATCTGCCCTGGAGTGGCTCCTCATAGTCCACAAGATAGAGCTCAGGCTGACAGTATCCTGTGTGATCTGGCCCTTGCTAAGCATCAGCTCTCATAACCTATCCAAATACTGCTCACAAAACCTGAACTGCCATGCTTCTGCCTCCCTTGGATTCTGCTGCTATGTGTTCTGGTTGACTTTTACTCATTCTTTAGGAAAATTTGAATGACACTTCCAAGAAACCAACCAGCATACCCCACACAGACTTTGGCAGTCTTCCTTTGGGATCCCCAGATATCCTCATGTTCCATTTCTTTGTACATCACAGTGTTTGGAAACAGCTGATGATGTCTTCCTCCCCTCCCCCACACCAGACTGAACTTGAGGATATGGACTATGTTTTGTTCATTTTGTACCCCAAGCACCTAGCACCAGGCCTGGCACACAATATTTTAGTCCTTAGCTAGCATTTGTTGAATGGGTCAGCACAAGAGAAAGCAGGAACAGTGGACTTGATGGTGGGTGGTACTAGAGTAAGCATAGAAACTACAACCTCAGAGTTGCTCTGCCCAGAGCAGTTAATGTCTTGTCCCAGGCACCAAAGGGAAGATTCAAGAACCAGGAATTGGTGATGGGTAGGCTGGGAGTCCATAGGTGTTTTCTCAGCAGCTAAACTCTAAAGCATAAAATACTTTACCTCTCTGAGCCTTGGTTTCCCTACTTGCTAAATGGGATCATTATTTCATGTCCATCTCACAGCATACCTGAAGATCAATAAGCAAGTGAATATGAACATGTTTAGGAAGTTAAAAGAGCAGCTTGTACCATTAAGCTTGTTCTAATTTTCACAAAGTCAAGACAACTCCCCAAGAACTCAATGGACTCCAGAAACAGTTCCCAGCTGCCAGCATCTCAGCTAGGAACTTCCTTCTCTTGAGTGCTGACTCCCTGGGTAAAACCCACTAATAGAAATAACCTGGCTTGGGGAAACAAATTGTCAATCCATGTGTCCCTAAATTCTAGAGTCACTTTTCCCTTTAATGCTCAATAAAAATCCCTGAGCTCCTACCCTGTAGGACACCCCTTCCCATGAGATATTGGCTCCCATCCGTTAAACAAATACTAGGGGCGCCTGGGTGGCTTTTCCCAACTCTCGGATATCGGCTCAGGTCATGATCTCAGGGTTGTGTGAGTGCACAGCCTGCTTAAGATCCTCTCTCTCCCGGGGTGCCTGTGTGGCTGAGTTGGTTGGGCATCCGACCCTTGGTTTAAACTCAGGTCTCGATCTCATGGGTCGTGGGATGGAGCCCCACGTTGGGCTCCGAGCTCAGATTCTCTCTCTCTGCCCCTCCTCCCCTCTCTCCCTCTCTAAAAAATAAATAAATAAAGGAATACTATGTGGAAGTGCTGGGCACCAAGTGTTTTCCTTGCTTTACTTCATTTGATCCTCATGTGAAGGAGAAATGATTAATTCCACGTCATACATGAGAAAACTGAGGCTTGGAGGTTGATTTACCCAAGGACATGGGTGAGTGGCAGAGCAGAACTCAAAACGACGTCTGTGTGATTCTGAAACTCACTCAACGAGTGTGCTGTCTCATCTCTCTGCTTCCGAGAATGCCCCAAATCTACTTAAATGTTCCACAGATCTGTCTCGTGTGGTCATAAACGTTTCTATAATACTGGGGTCTGGTCTCCATTAGAGGATGTATAGTTGTTAGGCAGTTACATTTCCCAGCTGGCAAACAACAGAGAATATGCTGGGAAATGCGGGGAGTTTCCTATGCACAGTCTCATAAGTAGTAGTGAGTTCCCCATCACCTGGGCTGCACTCACACAGAACTAATGAGCCTTGTCCGGATCTTAGAAGAGATTCTAAGTCCCCAGTCCGGGACTGTTTAAATGGTCTTACACGTCCCCTCTGAATCAGAGACTCAGATTCTCAATTGATGGCACAGGCATCAAAGTCCCTGAGCATTTCTTGCATTTTACCCACTATGTACCATGTTCTCCATGATCATTTCTAAGACAGGCAACCTCAGAAAAAAGGCTGGTTTCCTACATATGTTAGATATCCAAACATTTGGTACTTTGGTTAACACTTGGATTTCTCTCACCCAACCCTATAATAAAAGGCCACCAAAGGACCTGCCAGTCTGTGACTTGGCCATTCATTTAATGGCCATAATAGCAGGCCTGATTTGGCGAGTTCCTTCTTTACACTGAGCACAATACACACGTCATCCCTAAGGCAGTTATCCTCCGTTTTTCAAAAGTACGCAATAGGCCATTTCGCTTTTACGAAAGACCTACATTAGTATCTGTTTCTGCTAACCGAAAGAAATCTAAAGAGGATTTTCACTTACGCGAAAAAGGCAAAAAAGGAAAATAAAGAGCATTCAGCGTCTGTCTTGCGGTGAGCTCTTACAGAGGCAGCGCTCACCCCAAGCAGCCCTGCCAAACTCCTCCCTGGGGAGCCCCATTCAGCATCAAGCCGCCACAGCTTTTCTTTCTTTCCTTTCCTTTTTTTTTTTTTTTAAAGTAAGCTCTACACCCAACCAGGGCTTGAACTCAGGACCCCAAGATCAAGAGTCGCATGCTTTACCAACTGAGCCGGCTACTCTATCTTTGGACTGTGTCTCGGAGCATCTGTGCTCTATGTCCGTTTATTCTGTGCATCCATTAGCAAGATGGGTTCTAACGTATCAGAAAAGCTTAAGAGAGGTAATTTTGGGGGTCTTGGGAAAGCTAAAAAAAATTTCCATATAAATTAATGTTAATTGCTTCTTCTTTTTATGTCATTTCGGCTTATAGAAGTTTTCGTAGGAACTCCGTGTTTTCAGACATTGGAGGAAACCTGTACTCAAAGCAACCTCATGGTGTAGGTATTATAATTTCCATCTTATGAGGCTTAGAGAGAAAACCTGCCCACAGTCCCCCAGCAAGTTGGTGACTTGAGTCATATTTTGAACCCAGGTCTATTTGGCCCCAAAGCTCATAGTATGCACAGGCTGGACTTCACCCCACAGTGACACACAAAAATCTCACAGTCAAAAGGGCTCTAAAAGACTTAGAGCCAATCTCCACCCACTGCAGGAA